GCTCCGCCGGCAGCCAGCCGTGCCTGAGTGACCGAGCCCCAGGCCGAGAGGCCGGGGGCACCCCACCTCCGAAGTGGCCCGAGCGAGCCCCAGGCTCCAGGCCCCGATAAGCGGCCACCAAGGAGTGAGCCGGTGTGTACCCGGACGCCCATCCCCAGACACAAAGAACCACCAACGCACCGATGTCTGAGGGAGTCTGCCACTGGCAGGGGAAGTGGTGGTGGGGGGAGATAGACCTCCAAACCTTGGAGGGCCTGAGATGTCCCCAGAGAGGTGGCATCTGACACCCAACCTGACATATAGACACAGACATACAGGCACACACAGACACAAACATCCATTCCCACCCTCATGCTCTCATATGCACTTACTCCACACTCAACCAACGTGGAGACAGACATAAAGAGATGCTGTACACACGATCACACTCCCCAAGCGTACTCTACGAACCGGGTCTAGGTACCCTTGCCCCTGGAGGGGGGAACTGCACCCAGACCCAGGTGGTGTTACCCTTTTCCCTGCGGTGGGGAGAGGCAGACCGCCCCGACTCTGCAGCAGCAGGGAGGCCCCACACTCCAGACTGCAGTCGGACGGCCAACTCCTCCTAGCCCTCCCGCTCCAGCAGGCCGCAGAGAATGGGGGTGAGAGAAGACTCCAAACCTCCCTCCACCCGCTCATTGTAGTGTTGATGCATGTGTGTTCTAAGGTGCATTTAAAACCCAGGAGGGCATGGAGCTACCTGCCAGAGAGCAGCAGGTAAGTGCATAGTCCCTCCTGCTAGCCCTCAATGTCTACGTGTATTTAAAATTAAGGGGTGGGCAATGACGCCAGGGGTGAGGTGTACACCCTGATGGTCTTTTGGAGTCCGTGTAGCGTGCCCACCCCCAAGATCCTATATGTATGTGTAATGAGAGTGTGAATAATGTGAATGTCTAAGTTGTGGGATAAAATTGAGGCAGAGGCAGCCAGAAGGGGACAGGGGGGGGGGGGGGGGGGGGGGGGGTAGCCTCCTCTGCACCCTGGTGACATACCCCTATTCCAAGGCCCTGCATGTGTGGGTGGTTGTGGTGGAGCGGGAAGAGGGAGGCAGCTGGAGATGGGGAGGGAAGGAAGGGAGGGGCAAGTGACCCCTCCCTGGGGCCAGCTCCCCCGCTGACCCCAGTAGGCACCCCCATACTCCGCGACCCGCCAGGGAAAGGGGGCCCAGGCCCATCCAGACCGGGGCCCAGTGCAGCAGCGCCTCCCGGCCCCACAGAGCCCGGGACAGTCCACCCAACCCCACCACAGAGAAAACTGCACCCACCCCACCATCCACTCATCTTCCAGACTACATAAGACAATAAACGCCCAGGGTGAGATCTTCCTCCACCTCTCCTGTATCTCCCCTTCCTGCAGAGAGAGTTCCTGAAGAGAGGAAAGCTCCTGCAAGATGTGACAATCTCCCCCACCAGTTGAAGAGCCCCCCAGGTGGCTCGACGCACCAGCGGCACCCTGCGCCAGGGCTGGGCCCCCATGCATCTAACAGGATGTCCAAAAAACTCGCTGAAAAGCCTTCAGCTAATCCAAAATGCTGCAGCAAGAGTGCTGACAGGGACTAGAAAGAGAGAGCATATTTCTCCTGTTTTGGCTTCCCTTCATTGGCTTCCTGTTAAATCCAGAATTGAATTCAAAATCCTGCTCCTCACATACAAGGTCTTAAATAATCAGGCCCCATCTTATCTTAATGACCTTGTAGTACCATATCACCCTATTAGAGCACTTCGCTCTTGCTCTGCAGGCCTACTTGTTGTTCCTAGAGTATTTAAAAGTAGAATGGGAGGGAGAGCCTTCAGTATTCAGGCCCCTCTTCTGTGGAACCAGCTTCCAGTTTGGATTCGGGAGACAGACACCATCTCTACTTTCAAGATTAGGCTTAAAACTTTCCTTTTTGCTAAAGCATATAGTTAGGGCTGGACCAGGTGACCCTGAATCCTCCCTTAGTTATGCAGCAATAGACATAGGCTGCTGGGGATTCCCATGATGCATTGAGTTTTTCCTTTCCAGTCACCTTTCTCACTCACTATGTGTTAATAGACCTCTCTGCATTGAATCATATCTGTTATTAACCTCTGTCTCTCTTCCACAACATGTTTTTATCCTGTCTTCCTTCTCTCACCCCAACCGGTCGCAGCAGATGGCCGTCCCTCCCTGAGCCTGGTTCTGCCGGAGGTTTCTTCCTGTTAAAAGGAAGTTTTTCCTTCCCACTGTCGCCAAAGTGCTTGCTCATAGGGGCTCATATGATTGTTGGGCTTTTCTCTGTATCTACTGTACAATATAAAGCGCCTTGAGGTGACTTTTGTTGTGATTTGGTGCTATATTGAATTGGTGCTAATTGAATTGAATTACATTTAGTGAACTAGTCTAGTTGACTGCCTTTTGCTTCAATAATCTTGAGGTCTGGGCTCTGGGGAGGCCAATCCATGACCGATAGTGTTCTACTGTGTTTTTCTATTCAGGTATGATTTTACTGCATTGACAGTGTGTTTGGGATCATTGTAATGCTGAAAAATGAAGCTGTTACCAGTTAGATACTTTCCAGATGCTGTATCAAAATCTCATTGTACTTTTCTGAGTTCATAAATTATCAGTTTTAACAGATCTCCACTGAACAGAACACCACTGGCTGACGCAAACCATGACACAGCCTCCACCGTGCTATGCTAAGTTTTCAGCTAATAGCGCTTTGAGAATCAATGTATTGGTGAAAAAAATCTATTTTATGTCTGTCAAACTATGTTATCTTTGGCATTTTTCCTAGATTATAATAATCCGCCATTAGGGATAATCCGGCTCAGCGGATTCCCCAACCCCTGGGTCCGTGGCCTAGGGGTTGGGGAGTCATTTGGTACCGGGCCACGAGAGTTGAGGCTCAGGTGTGAAATTTAAGGTTTTCAGGGGTTTTATCGTTAACTCGGTTTCCTGGGTCTTTTCCCGAGTTGTACTTGTGTGTCTTATTTTGAAAGAAATATTTATGTGTTACCATAGCAACCAGAGAGCATTAAGGGGCAGAGAGGAAGAAGTTGCTCTCAATGTTGTTGGCGCATTTAAGGAGGACGCTGCTAATACAGTTAAAGTTAAATACAACTACACAGTGAATTTGTGTTTATTGTTATATTTACAAAATACCACAGTTTTTGTCTTGCTTGTATCATTTTATTTTGTTGTATTTATCTGCGACACCTTAAAGGCTGATCCCTGAAAATAAAGTCTGATATTAAATTGGTCCGTGGCGCAAAAAAGGTTGGGGACCGCTGCTCTAGCTGATGATTTCTGATGATTTCAGTGTAATTTGGGAACATTTAGTGTCCACATGAAACTACATTTACAGCGGTTTATACAAATCCTTATCTCTTTGTTTAGTACCAGAAGGAATTTGTTGGAAACTTTGCTATCAACCTGATATATCTGTCCAACATCTGTGCACTCCAGCTGGAGCGGTATACGGTCCGCATGTTACATCCATTCAATCTGTTTTCCAGATAAAAGCTGTTTGCCAAGTCACTATGTCAAGCTGATCCTCAGTCCCCAAAGTGATGTCCCAGAGGTGGATGGCAAAACAAACACCATGACTCCTCTGTCATTGTCTCCACTAGAATATGTTTGTTTTCATGAGTAATATTAGCTTCAGCTGAGTTGTCAGGGTCTTCCTAAAGTAACATTTCTCTCAGTGGGTGAGGTGGATTTCACTTGTTTCCTTTGCTGAACAAGACAGGAAGTGTTTCAGGTGCTTGAAGAACACGCTGATTTCTCATCATGAAGCCACCAGGGACAAAAACTCAGGCAGATGGGAAGTCAGTTCCTCTGTCAAATGAGAGCTCAGGTTCTGTATATCCATGCACTTTTTTCCCTGCTGTGATGGACTAATGGTTAGAGAAGATATCCTTTTCACTTCAGGTCATGGGGGTTAGACTGTCAAACAACCTTGTTGCCTGTTGATTTTCTCTGGGAAGACTGAGCATGTCAACAGTACATGTTTTACTCTCATTAATGTGATTTGTCACAATGGTTAAAGCTGGTATACGACCCTAACCTCATAAACCTACATTTTTATGTACAAAAATGAGTCTTGTTTTCTTGATGAAATGGCCTAAACTGGTGACAGAAGGTGAGGTTACAACTTAGAACAATATAACTGTGAATTACAGCAAGATTTTTTTTAAACACAAAAATAACACTTACAAGCAAATCCATGACTTTTTTTGACCTAAAAGTTAAAAAATTAAAGGGAGTGTAATGCATAGAAGCTAACGCTGTCTTTAGCTTCTGTGGCAAGAAAGCTTTAAACCTTCAAACATACTATTTCTGGTTGTATAGACTAGAAAGCAGTGCAACCACAGGAGAGATCAACCCACCATCATGCATGCAGGACACACTGTGTGTGGAAGCCACCAGTCAGAAAGGTTGACATTATCCAAACTAAAAAAAGCTCAGATGCAAAAACATTTAATCCTACAAAAACCACAGAGGCATCCCTGACAAAGAGAAAAAGTCCAGACCGTTTTCAGGCTGAATGAAGATAGACTAATGGCCATAGCAGATGTTTCGTGTATTAGACTCAAAGAGGAACATGTAGCAACAATACCATCTGTATAATTCCTTTAATACTTAATAGCAATAGACTTCCATACTTTAAGTATGCCTTGAAAATCAAATTTTCCAAATACAGATGGCAAAAAGTACAAAACAGGCACTTATAATTACTTCTTCCACCTTATTTGTGAGGTGACAGGAAGGTGCAGGCCTACAGCAACCTATCAGGTTAACACACACCTCACTGTCCCATATTCCCTTACAAATTCCCTGCATTATTTAACATTTCACGAGTTTGTAAGAACACTCCCGAATCAGCTTCCCCATTGAGAGAGAGCACTCCTCACCATAACCAATACAAGCAAAGGGTGCCCAGCAGTCGAGTACAAGCTGTTTTTTTTACCTGGTTCGATATTTATGCATCTTTAGAAATGTTTGCTGCAGCGACCAAAAACTTTGTGAAGCAGGTGGGAGACACAGGGAGGTTGATCCCTGTCCCGAGCCTGAGTGAGGCTGACCGCTACCAGCCCCTCAGCCTGGTTACCAGAAAGAGGAGGAAGCATTTTTGGAAGAAGGACAAGTATGCCTCAACACCTTTCTCACTGAAAGACATCCTGGTGGGCGAGAAAGAGATCACAGCAGGTACATTAATGTCAGAAAATTCATATCTGAGTAAATATAACTAAATTTTATGTTGAAACATGAGCCTTTTCCCTTTAAAAGGTTTAAGATTGGGGAAAAATAAGTTTATTCCACTCTAAGTATTGTATCATGCTCCTGCATTTTGTTGAATATATAAAGACTGCTGTCCACTGCAGCCACTGTCTCTAATTTACATACAGTATTTTTTAAATCTTTGATGTTTTTTCGCTGATTCCAAGCAACCTATGCACCAATGAGCTACACGCCTTAAGGACTGAACGGGAACACATTTGCATAGGCTGAATTTCCCAGAGGAACCCACCCGAGGGATTAATAACGTTTTATCTAATCTAATCTGAAAACGCTTATCTATAAGCTTTGTGTAGGCAAACACCCCAAACAGATGTAACCACGCAACCATAAAACAAGCATAAAGCCTTTATAGTCACGCAACCCACCAAAAACTTTGCAGTCATTGCTTTGTTGCTAGCAGATTGCCATGGTCACCGGTAGTTTTCTCATGCTTGTCTGCAATTGGCTGCAAGTGAAAAAGTGCGACGCAAAATGATCATAGTATGTCTGTAGTCTGTAGTGGTTTTATGTCAGTAAAACCTCAATTAAAATGTTATATGGATACATGGACAAAAAGAAATATAAAACCCAACATATCTGATTTACTATCTGAAAACGTTGTTACCTCCACTAAAGTTTCAAATGAACTTCTGTAGGTTCTAATAATCTTTAGCCTTAATATTATTTAATTATAATAAGTAATGTTTGCAATATGGTCATCTTTAGGTTTCACAACAAATCTTAACTTAGGCGAACTTTGTTTTCTCTAATCATTTACAACCCACATGAGCAAATCTGGTAGCTTGTTATGTTTCTGAGGTGACCACTGTTTATGTTTGTGGAGTAGGAGCCCAGGAGCTTAACAAGCTAGCTAGTTAGCAAGCAGAAAAACATCTAATATGGCTCATTTGGGAGCTTTACTATTAGCTAGGCTAGTTGTATCCCCTTGCTCCTAGCTTTTAATCTATACATAGAAAACCAACTGTTTTCTTGTTATTATTTATCACTATACAGTTCTTCAGAGTATTATCAATCTAACGCAATAATAAAACAGACAAAAAAGGCTAACAAGCTAATCTAAGCCTATTGCCAGTCATTCTGAAAGCATTTTTCAGCACGTAGCAGCCATGTTGTTAATACTTTCACTGTAGTTAGACAATAATTTTAAAGTAATGTACAGAGAATCACAACTTTGATTATTTCCGTGGTGAAAAGGACATCAAAGCTGCATATATTCACCAGCTTAATCTGACTGATAAAGCAATTCCTCCACCAATGTGGTGCTGCCCATCTGCTTCAAGGTTGAATGTTGTACATTCAGAGACGCTCTTCTGAAAATTTTTGTCATAACAAATAGTTCTTTGAGTTCTTTGGCTTCCTGTAGTTTGTTAGAGTGAGACATAAAACATTTTTATAGTTTTCAAGTTTTTGAGACATGATTAATTTTCTTCATTCTAAGAAAAAAAACCAGTTAATTTCTTAAATAAACATTTTAACACTATAAAAAATGTTTCACTGCTGCCACAAATATTCTAAAATGTACTTTAATTGTTAAAGTATATGTTATATGTTATATAAGTATTATTTAACCTATGCATGAACAGATACCATTTTACTGTTGGGACTGGAGTCGGACCTACTTACAGTTAATGCTTACAAAAGCATAAGTTAACCATAATCTTAATTATTGTTTTCTTTTGCAGGGGTTTCTTCTTACCAACTCCTCAACTACGAAGATAAATCTGATGTAGCTCTCAATGGTCGGTTAGGGAACCACATCATCAATGATGTGGGGTTCAACATCAGCGGGTCAGACTCAGTGGCTGTAAAAGCCTCCTTTGGCATTGTGACCAAACACGAGCTGGAGGTGCCAACGTTATTGCGTGAACTCAACTCCAGGTATATGCATTGACAGACAGGGTATAACAGCAGCTCAGCAGGGGCTTTTATCTACATGTGCTGGATGTTAAAGCATCAATATCATGATAGTTTCTCAATACAGATTAGATGAAGTTACTTTGAGGTAGTGCTTTATTAATAATCAAGTAGAAGGATATATTTCTTTAATCAATTATTTATCAATTTGAAAAGTAAGCATAAAATACCCTAGGAAAAGTTCTTAAATTATGGCACTTTGTAAATCGGATATTTCAGGTATCTGCATTGAAGTATTCTCCTTATGTCCACAATAAGTTGTCTGACCTTCGACCTCTTTGTTACACGGAGAATGTGAGAAGAGGGTTTCCCTGTATAAACAATCATGTTATTCTACACCTTCATACATACATACAGGGGCTACATGCAATTGGACAATACAAGCCAGAGATGTTGCCTTGCTTGACTTTAACAGGTGTTAATGAGTTCATGTTTAATTCAAGCTCTCATTTTTTGATCTTCCAGGAAGGTGGACCTGGATCACTGCCTGATTCGTCAGTCAAAGGAGAGCGGACGCAGTGTCCTCTGTGTTGTCGTGGAGAGTATTCGCACCACGCGTCAATGCTCTCTGACCGTGCATGCTGGCATGAGAGGGACCACCATGAGGGTAAAAATACCTGTAGTTGTTTTATCTTAACACCCTCCAGGACCAAGACCCATCCAGGGTTAGAATTAGATTAATGTTTACTGGCTTTTCATAAATTTTTTTTTAGCTGTTTGATGAGTTTTTTAAATTAAGCTTCCTTGGTAAGATGAAGAAAGAGTAGTTCATGCTTTTACACCTTTACTGGGATACCTAAACTTGTCTTTAAGAGTCTCAGTGATTTGGTGCCAGCCTACTTGACTTAACCTTTAAAGCCCTACACTCTTGATGTTTGGAAACCAACTGCTCTTGAATGTTCCTAGATCCAGCCTCAAAAACTAGATTTTTCAGTGGCTGTCTCCATTCTGTGGAACAATTTACTCTTTCACACAAGAGCTGCCCAATTACTCAACCATTTTTAATGTGTCTTAACGCCCACTCACATCCTGGGCCATTTGACCTCAGTAAGTCACATAATAGGGTGGGGCTAGGCTTCACAATGGGTTCACCCGAAACCTTGGCTGATTGTGACCCACCTCGGCTCATGTGATTAGATAAAGGATCATTAGGGGGTCCATGACCCTCTTGGGGACGTTCCCATATGGCTGAAAATCTGGGACTCTCCACCAGTTGCTTAGAACTGAAAAAGCTTCTCAGATGAGAGTTGAAACATCTTTAAGGAAACTTAGAGAAGTCCAGATGCTTTTCTTTCCAAGCTCCTTAGACTACGATGACCTTGATGACTGAGAACCTTCACAGATATTTTTAAATATTCTTAAATAAAACTCCTTACTTTCACTCACTGCCAGTTCTAGTTGAGCTCAGTATCCTGGCTTTTACTGCACAAATAGTCTTATTTACTTGAATTATTGTTTATTTAGATAAGTTTTATTGACTTTTATTGTTTATGTATGTGTATTTATAGTTTAATTAGTGATTGTAAATCGTTAATGTATATTTGGCATAATGTGTACAGCACTTTGATCAGCTGAAGTTGTTCTGAAAATCTGCTATAGAAATAAACTTTATGTCTCTATGTATGTAATGGGGCCATGCTTAAATTCATAACACTTATATTTAAAACAAATGCGTCAAGGGCAGTGAACAATCCATCTCCCAATCATTTACTCAAAATAACGAGCCCTAACTCAATCATTTTTCCCTCACCTAATCCCAAATTCTCCGTTTAACCGCCTTTTCCATGTGTAATTATCAGCTTCCTGCTTTGCTCCAGTTTCAGATTGACGACGGCAGAAACCCCAAAGGTCGAGACAAGGCCATTGTCATCCCAGCTCACACCACCATCGCCTTCAGCATCTGTGAGCTCTTTGTTCGACTGGATGGACGACTTGGTAGGTGGGCAAACCATGCCAATCGTTAATTAGCCAATTAATTCATGTTTATGAGATGAAGCACTTCAAATGGCTTTGAAGTGTCTGACCCTTTGAAGTTTTAGCTTTAGTCTTTAAAGCCTTGCAGGCTAACTGTCACTATGAAAGCAGGTGAACTTATAGTCAACAGGTAAGGTGACAAAATCTGTATGAAGAACTACGTGAAGTGTAAGTGATGAAATAAGTCTAAATGGTCAGAAACAGTCAAAAATGAAATACTCAAAATGATTTGAAACCATAATTGTGAGCCTGCGTGACATTTATTTAAGTGTTTGAAGCTTGTCATCAATTTGGGACGATGGTGGTTGTAAAAACATCCGTTAATTACTGAATTGGTTTGATAACACGTTTCATGAAATCATCTAGAAACAAATTATTCTGAATTTCAGCTGGGCAACGCCTGTAACCTCATCTGGATTTCTGGGACTTTATCTAATGGATAAAGTGTCGGATGGCAGATACTTTACCTGTTAGGCTGCGTGACTCCTTGTGTTCCTGTAGTGAAAATCACAGAGGGACTCTGACACTTCAGTACCAGCTAGTGAACATACATTTGAAGTCTTGGAATGAAGTCATAAAGTGTTTTAAATAAGAATTTAATGTTTTTGAGTGATTGAACACAGCATCCAAGCTAATGTCCAGGCATTGAAGGAACTTTTAGACCAGGTTCAGTCTCCACACTGGCCACCCCTTACTACAACTACTAAAGTTTTTGAAGTGTTTGATACTGCAGCAAGAATAAACTTTTAGCATAGCAAAACCATAACAAATTTTACTCCAGCATTCCATAGACTAAGTTGTTATTAGAGATATACAAAGTCAATAATGAAATTTTGATTTGTTACAAAAATAATAATAAACAACGCACATCGCCTGGTTTTCTTCTTCCTGTGTGTCAGATATTTGTGTGGCTCCGGAGTCACAGGGAGGCTTTGAGCGTGAGCAGATCAGGGAGCAGCTTGGTGGTTTCATTGGTCGCTTCTCCATGGGGCGACTACGCCGCTTCCTCTCTGGGATCATCTACGGAAACCCCTTTAGAGCAGGTATGATTACAGTATTTTTCATTAAATAAACTGACCCATCCTTCTGATAGACTGAGTCCACTGTAATCCAACCCCTGTGTAGATGACCGAACATTCGAAGAGCTCACCCACTCTGACACCTACATGGACGACATGGTGACCGACTACTACGAGAAGGCTGCCAGCATGACGGACATTTCCACCGCTTACTTGAGGGAAAGCTCACATACAAGGGTCAACCTCCTCAAACACAACATCCCCAAGGGCCCCTGCGCACTCTGCGGGATGGGCAACCAACGGCGGGAAACCGTGTACGGCTGCCTGGAGTGCTCGACTGGGGGCCAGAAATACGTCCGGCTGCATGTGGTACCCTGTTTTGATCTCTGGCATAAAACCTTGAGGTGAAAAAGGCCTTTTTTTCTCACAAGTGATACAAGTGCGACTGTTTATCACTCCTGCCGACAGCCTCAACACACCATGTCTTCAGCTGCAGCCAAGTGATCCAGTAAAAGATGTAAACATAAACCTGGTGCTATCCGTACCTTTGTGGTGTATCATTTTCAGTTTCCCAATGGCACCGGCGCATTTCTGCACGTGTGCTGTGTGTGTACTGTAGCTGCCAGCTGATTTATTATTAACTGAGGGTATTAAAAATAGATAGGAGGAGGGATCGTGTGAAGGCCAGTGAGGAACAAGTTCCAAGTGTGTCACTGATGTTGAGTTTCTGTTTTAAATTTGTCTCGCTTGAATTTCAGTTTAAAAAATTATTTTTGTTCCTTTGGGATTGTTTTATTTAAAGACATGCACTTCTAACATGCTAAGAAACACAACTACACAAGAGCCATAAAGTCAGCAATAGTTATGTCCTAATCTACTATTATCAAGGCTGTATGTCTTTTTACTAGGAAAATAAGATGTTTTAGGGGTAACATATTTCTATCTTTCTGTTCTTATTTTAACTTATTATTTAAGTGAACACCTGGTTGAACACATCATTAAAGGTACTTGAAACTGTAAAATGCTGTGCCAGGTAGGTTTGGATAGAATTTTTCCCTTAATAGAGTTAATTTGCTTTAATAAATGAAATCGTTGTTTAAAAACTGAATTTTTAATTTACTCAGGTTACCTTTGTCTGATATTAAAATCTGTCTGATGATCTGAAAGATGTAAGAATGAAAAATATGTAAAAAAGTAAGTTCTACTTTCAAATATTTTGTATGGCTTAAAGTCTATGTATGTACATTTAAAGAGAGCCATGCTGCACTTTTTGTGTAATAACAATTTGTACCACAAGATGGTGCAATGAGTCAGTGTAACCCAGGCATGTCCAAAGTCTGGCCCCTGTGGCCAATCATGGCTGTAGGTGGCCCGTCGTTTCTACCTTAAAATGTATTATTAATGGCCTGCAGACAAGAAGAAAATTAATAAAGTGTAATTTCTCTTTTTTTTACACTCACAAAATACACACAATAGTATATAGTTTAATATTGATACTGATTTTCAGTAGCTCCGCTGGTGTTTCAGGTATTGCAGAAAGCTTGATCTTTATCTTATTTTTCTCTCCATATGCCAATGAAAAGTAGATTCATTTTGTTAAGGCTTGAACACACCTGATCAGCATAATGATGACTCTCGTGTTATTGAAAATAAATTGTACAAAAAAGAAGAAGAAAATTATTCTTCAAAAAAGGCAAGGAGATGAGGGTTAGACACAACCCAAAGTGAGAGTGAGTGGCAAAGTTGTGAGCAGAATCACTGCCTCAAAATTGAATTGTGGCACATCTACTGACATCTAGTGGTGAGATTGTGCACACTGCACCTTTAACCCTCTGGGGTTGACTGATGCACCAGCGTGTCAAAATCACATGACCAATTTAAGACTACACAGCTACAAGATGCAGCAACTCAGAGTCTCCATTTCAACTTGGGTCGACATTTTTTGAATTGTATCGATGGGCCACGTAAAACCAGTTATGATAAAAAAAAAAATTCACGCCATGTTTTTTTCTGAACAAAACCGCGGTGTTTACAGCGGGAAGAACGGAAAAAACTGCGTTTTCTGTGGACAGCAAACACTCTCCGCTTGCGAGTGAAAAAAGAAAAAAACACCCCTTCCCTATTGGTGTTAAAATTTACCATGTCAGCCAATCCAAAAAATTATATGGCAACATGTGACACTTGGTTGTTTCGGGAGAGGGGGACGTTTTAGGAGTGACACCCGCGACGGAAAGCGGGCGATCGAAAGAAAGAGAGAGAGAGTTTTCAGAGCGACATTAGTGACGTTTAGTGTGTTTGGAGGCTGTAGTTAGTGTGTTGTGTAGTTATTGTTTGGTATTGTGTGTCAGATATACTAGTGAATGTCACATTTGCTCCAAAAAAGCCACCAAAGGCAGATTCCAGTGTAAACGCTGTTCCCACATGGAAAACAGGACTGATGCACCTCCTGCTGTCAGACCTGCAGGGTTTGGTGTTCTCCTCTGTCTTATACTGGACACAAACTATTTTTCTTTTTTTTTGGACTGGCACAAATAATTTGTGTACCTTTTTATTTGATGCAGCACACCTGATTGTTCTGTAAATAGATTTAAATGGTTATATAAAAAATGCCTGAGGCCTTGATTGCATTTTTAGGTAAATAGTACCTTATAACTTTGTTGTTTGCAAAATTTGTGCATAATTTTTACAAATGTACGATTTCTATTTGCATTTCAAGTTATGAAAATTATTTGTTAAACATGTTTGTGGGTTTTATAGTAAAAAATATAACTTTTTTCTACTCTGATTTTTAATTTTTTGTCTGAAATTATATCAATTGTGCTAATATGGTATGCCAAAATGAAAAAATAACTCAAATTTCAGATATTTGAGGTTGTGCTGAAAATAATGATAAACAAATAATGATGACAAGGCAAGATAAACAGTCTTTAAAGTTGAAATGTAGAGGTAAAATCAAAAGTAGTCAAAAACGGCCAATTATACCCTGGACCTCAGAGGGTTAAATAACACCAGCTACAATATTGGATAATATGTGTTTGTTCAGCAGAACAGTGTCCAGTATGTTGGCTGACATACTTTATTTACATGATATACTTTGTTTATATCCAACTCATGTCAGCTGTGGTTTGTGAGTTATTTGGCGCCGGTGTGCATGGCTCGCCATCCACCGCTGTCAGATCCACTTTAACATTTTATCAATTAATTACCAAATTAAAAAACAACATGTGGTAACTTGTTTTTCATTTTGCTGCATACAAATTGAATGCAACAAAATCACATGACCTTTTATCATCCTTGAGCTTAATCCTAGTACAGCATCTAATATAAACACTGTATGTTTATTTAAAAAATAATAATGAAAAACACTCCTTGTAATACATTAAAATCAGCTCAACTTTTATTTTAAAATCCAATCCAACTTTATTTATAAAGCACTTTAAAAGCAACATGGTTGACGAAAGTGCTTTCCAGTGAAAAAAAAAGATAAAGAAAACAACACACATATTTCTGTGAAGGTTCTCAGTCATCCAGGTCATCGTAGTCAAAGGAGCTTGCAAAGAAAAGCGTCTGGACTTCTTTAAGTTGCTTGAAGACGTTTCACCTCTCATCCGAGAAGCTTCTTCAGTTCTAAGGTCAAATGGTGGAGAGTCCCAGATATAAACCTAGTGGGAGTAACTCCCCACAGAGGGACAAAAGGACCCCCTGATGATCCTCTAATCGCCTGAGCCAAGGTAGGAAACTGGGCGTGGGTCCCAATCCATCTGCATCTTAAGGATAAAGGACACTCTTTCGAGGATGCCAATGTTCACATTTTGGACAGAGAGGACAGATGGTTTGAAAGAGGAGTGAAAGAAGCCATCTATGTCCACTGTGAGCGACCATCTTTGAACAGAGGCGGGGTTACGACACCAACTCTCTGCCATCTATAATCCAGTTTTGAGATCCCTTCCCAGACGCCTTAACGCCCACTCACATCCTGGGCCATCTGACCTCAGGAATTCGCATGATAAGGTGGGGCCAGGTTTCACAATGAACACACCCGAAACTCTGGCTGATTGGGACCCACACCCAGTTTCCCACCTTGGCTCAGGCGATTAGAGGATCATCAGGGGGTCCTTTTGTCCCTCTGTGGGGGGTCACTCCCACTAGGTTTATATCTGGGACTCTCCACCATTTGACCTTAGAACTGAAGAAGCTTCTCGGATGAGAGGTGAAACGTCTTCAAGCAACTTAAAGAAGTCCAGACGCTTTTTTTTGCAAGCTCCTTTGACAACACACATATTACCAATATTGTACCCGGTGTTATTTAAAAAGCAGATTAACCACAAAGACCTGGGGAAAGATAAAGCCACCTTGGGGAAATGGGGAGAGCAAAAAAGAAACAGGTTGTCATAAGTTACGCATCAGCACAGGTAATGAAAACCACTAGTGAAACACTGCCCCCAGTGGTAAAAGATGTAGTCAAATTCTGCCAGTGTTAATCATAAAAAGTACCTTTAAGATAGCTTTAGAATTTGTTTACTTTATTCTTAAGAAGTATTGCATATTTATTTTAAGCTGAACATCGTGCTCTGGGATACTTGGTCAAATACTGTCTCTGCCAGTGACCAATACTTACATAAGTCTCCCTTCAGAAATCCCATCTTGAGAATAACACGTCGGTGTGCAACCATGCGGGGTAATGGCCATGTGTCTGACTTTAACTTAGATAAATTGAGGGTGTGAGTCCCCAACTGAGAAATAAACTGGTAATAAAAGCAGTTTATTACCAGTGTCAGAGAAGATACTCTCGCCTCCTCTAACAACACTGTGGAGTAATTGCCATCTGAAGGATAAAGACTAAATAACTCTATATATGTGCTATAATGACATCTAGCACATATACTATCTTGCTCTACTTCCAAAATGATCTTTAGTTGCATAAACATGACTGATTAAAAAACATTAATATTATTAAAATAACACAGATAACACAGTCACCTCCAACATCTACATCAACAGTCCAACATTATTTGTCACCATCCAGATTTATGAGTTCTAAAAAAAGGTCTGGCCTATACAGGTGGATACACATGTTATGAAGGGGGGAGCTATGCATGTAGTCAAACCCCTTTTTTATGTTACAACCTTGTACTTTAACCTCCTTGTCACCAGAGGGCGCCGTGCAGTTTTCCAAGTCAACTCAAACCGGATGTGTCGACTGTCAACAAAACGCATCACACGTGTGGAGGAAGAAGAAGCATGTTGGTCTCACGTTCATAGTCCTGGGATTTATAAAGAGTTAAAAAGAAGATTAATGTTCTGAAGTTAATGAATATTTAGTAAAATGAAGTTTGCTTATAGGGTAAGTGCGCTGCTGTTAGCGACTTTGCTATAGTCGCGATGCTTTGGTAGCGGGAATGCGTGTC